AGAGAGAGAGAGAGAGAGAGAGAGAGAGAGAGAGAGAGAGAGAGAGAAGCCGTAGATGCGGTTTTATGTTCCGCTGAATGTAGTGATTCCTAGCGAAAGTTCAGTATTATCAGCTTGCTAACGTCGCCGATTAACTGGAATTCCTTTCTTAAAAGCGGCCGACACTAAATATGCTCCCACTCAGTCTTCCTCCAGCACGACATGTCTGTTTCTTATAACTTATCATACGCTCTTATCTTTATTACGCTTACGCAACTGCCTCCGATCTAATTTCCCCAATATTATTCATACTATTGTCGCCATCATCTTCATCTTCATCGTCGTCGCCGAAGTAGTTAATTTTATAACGTGCCAGTATTACAATAATTAAGCGACGCCTTCTTATCAAAATGATCCTGTAAATCGACTGCATGTTGATCGAGTTACAACCAAGTAAAAGGTCTGTCTGCGAATTACCGAAATAAAAATTGACAGAACAAGATAAGTAAGATGCCACACATAAAGAACATGAGAGGTTTACTCGTGCCGATAAGCAGGGTGACAACAGGGGCTGAGAATGAGGCGACGAGGGAGAGGTGGCACTTCAGAGGTTTGCTATCTGACAAAGAATACTACTATTCTCTATAGTCCCAGTCAGTCTCGGACCGTCGTCGAATCGCCGTCAGAACACACACACAAGACGACACCTGTCCTCTTGTCCACTTTCCCGTGTCAAACCGGTATGCATCGCGAAATAATTCGGAAAAAAATAATACAACGAAGAGAAGATATCTCTAGTTTCTAAATTCATATAAATCCGCCGATAAGTGTATTATAATAGAAGAAGGAATGTTATATATGAGGTGAGACAGAACGGCTAATGGTGAAGAGGAACAAAAAGAAGACGAACGATCTATTAGATCCCGAATACTTCCTGCGATACATCGCTACGACATCTCCGAATTTGAGGAACGCGTGTCAAGATCAAAGTTCGTGCGTAGATCATATTTCGTTACAACGAGTAAGTATAGAGTGATTAGTTGGATTAGCAATAAATGCGCTGCCGAGCGCGTCGGCTGAGCAATCATGGGTGTGTCGATAGATGATAAGTGAACTTGTGATATAGGTAAAAAAATTTCTCAGTGGATCGTATCGATGATATGTTCTTTCAGTTTGATCGGAAAGTATCCTATTTCGCCCTGTTTCGTTCTATATTAAATTACTTCAATTCAATTATTCGAGTAGCGTGGAGATTGTCTTCGCTGCAATTACCTGAGAATTTGTTAATATTTTAATCTATTGTACACATGCACACAGTGTGCAGCCTCGTTAAGGGTCCATAATTATTTTCGAAAAGTAGGACTATCGATTATTCTTTAGACACGTGGGTGCTTTGCATCACGATGTTGTATGTGAGGTCATATTAGGAGAAAGCGATTCGCATATCCCTCTATAAGACAAGCCCTTGCGTTAACCGCTTGATCGTTAGACGATCATCTTCGCCCGATGAGTTCTAATCATAAACGAGGAAGCGCCGGCATGGTGCGTACAAGGCGCAAAATCGGATTATTTCCATTCGATGCACTGACACGACCCGGCCATGCGACAATAATTTATTCGTGATTACATAAAACCCGGCTACAAACGTATAACCAGGCCAAGAATTATGTTTCTCAGCGGTAGATAATATTTATGCGATTCATGCATCTTTTCTTTTTTGCACTATGCACCCCTTTCAGAACTCGCGCGCATAAAACGGCAGCTTTATCAGGTCAAGTACTTCGTGTTCGTGTTCATGATACGACGGCATTAATCTACGTCCACGCATGGGCGTATGTGTATTTTTCGCTTTTCGTGAGTACAGCTTCTGGTGACATGTCCTCGCGCCACATGAAAAATGTATGTATGAGCGTTCTCCTTAAACGCAGACATGAATATGAGCAACGAAAAAGTCATGCAACATGTATAAACAAACGCATAAGTAGAAAATTTATTTCAACATCGTTAATTTAATTGGTGTATTAATTTTTTAGTTGCCAGTGCACTAAATATACGTGTCCAAGGAACTCGTTAAATGTATATTGGAAAATATTTAATTACAGATACTATAATTTACCATACTATATACTACTATCTATTATACCATAATTTCTTCTCAGTATTGTGGTGTTAGTTTAGAGGTATATTCTATAACTTTTAACGATATCGTTATGTATCATTGCGCAGATTTTTTGTATTATGAAATAACTGCGCAGCGATACATAACGACATCATTAAACGTTATAGAATAGGCCGCTTAGATGATAAATGTGTGCTGATATCAAAACCTTATAACGCGAACAGCAACAAAAAATCTATGCATAAATATAAATATGATAGAAGACCATACTGATAATGAGAAACACAATAACAATTAATAAAATTAAATACACATTGCGCATAATAACTTCCTTCGTGAGGTTACTCCAAGCCAGTCAGTATAAAAAAAAAAAAAGTTTTAGCAGAAAACTAGACGTTCCACGTGGTAGCGATTGAGCCGCATAGCGGCGAATTCATTAAACTGATAATGACGAGGGGACCATCTGAAAGGGAACAAGGCGCGGTCACGAGGGCGCAAGGGATAGAGACGGTCGGAGGAAAATCCTCCCTAACAGTGGAGGGGATACGAGATGTTGGATACAGCCTGTTGATTCACAGCACTCGTCAGTAACAGTCGCGCCGCATACAGAATCGCGACATACTAGTAGCGCGTGTCGAGTACGCGAGCAGTTTCTGAACAGGACGGATATTTATTTCTTCTGTTTGTCTCAACGTTCTCTAATCTTACATGCATGTCAATACACAAACACTAAAGAGAAAAGTTGCAATACCAACGATCTAGAAAACAAATTCATCGCATCGAAAAGTGAGTTAAACATGTTTCTTGATTTACATTTTGAATTTGAGAATATCGATCTTTTATCACCTCAATGTATTTCTCAAGCGACGCTGCTATTGACTTATAATATTTATAACTCTTTTTCACATATACACGCACGCGCGCGCGCACGCACACACACATATATATATATACACATTTACACACATCGAAATTCCTACACCTATAAAAAGTAGACTTTCTAATCTAAAGTATTCGTGAAAATCAGTGCGTTTTTCATGGATTTTTAATAGGAAAACTATAATTTTTAAACTTTGTATTCATGTGAATTTAGGGCAATGTTGTGAAAAATTTGTTTATTCGAAAATTTGTTTGTTTATTCTCACGACAAAGAAATTTGTACTTTGCAAAGAAATTTATATTACTGGAACCCTTGATTTCTTCTCTTCATTTATCTAAACAATTAAAAAAAACTAAAAAGAATTATGTATAGTACAAATGTCGGTATGATGTTATCATTGTTAAATTACAATAAAAAAATATTAAACATTGCAAAAATAATTGCACACAGGAAAAAAAACAGTTTAACTAAAATTATAATTGTTTTTGGTCCCACAACCATATTTTTTGTGACAAAATAATACTACCAACATACATATCAGGTTATTATTACTAACATTATAATTAGAATTTAATAAAAATAATTTACTATAACTTATAGTATTTGTTTCTCTATGTGATAGTTACAAATATCAAACATTTTCTTCTCAGTGCGTGTGAAACTTAAAATTCTAAATTTCAGATAAAAATTGAACAATTTTTCTCGTTGATAAACGAAAAAGTTTTGCAAATAGCATATTAATTACAATTTATGTCATAAAGGCTCATATATTTTTATATGCGTGTGAAATTTAACGACATTGAAGATTTTAGGAGGCCAGTTTAAAAAAGAAAAGAATATAATAGGCTTTTAGTGGTGTTAAAAAATTTCTCTTGTGTCAGTCTTCTTTTTTACGAACAATTTTAGCCTTTTCTGTTCAGCTTATTTAGCATATCTTCGGCATCCAAAACTTATTTTACTACTTATAACCCAGAAAACAAACGAAATGCAAAATAGTTTTACTGTGAATAATTCTCGTTAGAATTTTGAGTCGTCCAAAATAACAGAAACGAAAAGAGACGTCACTTGCACCAACAGCAATAAATATCGTCGCATTACATTGATATGCAATAAGGAGTGAACTATCAAATGACCTCGTGTGATTATTGTTCTCATATTAAAAAGACGATATTTATGCTACCAATTATTGTAAAAGCGCTAATGATACGAAGGGAATCGTATTCGCGGTAATAAACAGTTATCGAAGTTGTCGAAGTACATGTACTAGTAATTGGTGCCATTATCGAATATGAAAAATTAACAATCGAATATAGTAAATACAGACTATTTTTACGAAAAGAATTTTTGAAAGAATGTTGTTGTCGCAACCGTAACGATGTTCTTTCGGAAATTTAATATATGTAAATCATGACATGCGACAAAGTCAGTCAGTAATATGTTCAATATAAGCCAGTGTTTCATCCGATACTTATGCGAAATAACAGCCGAGACGACTTTATATATGCGTTATATTTATATATGTAAATTTATATGCGACACACACAGTTGCAAAATCAATAATAAATTGTATTTTTGTTATTTTGATTTATATATTATTGTTCAATTAATATTTGATTCTGTTAAGCTCATGCACTAGCGAAATACTTTCCTGCTAATCAAACTTATACAGATTAGATTTAATCTATTGAAATATTGAACTATGTAAGAGAGTTCTCTCACATAATGATAAAAATACAAACACATCAAAAACTTATCTACATTTACATTTTTCATACATGTACATTCTACGTTAAAAAACGAAACGTGTCGAAACGAGGACGATCTCGTAATAAATATTTAACATTTCATTAAGATTTCATGATTATGTAAATTGAATGAATAAATTAATCAAATCAATTCAATTTTTATATTCTACTAGGTCTATTAATTCTATAAAAACAAATTTGAAAAAAAAGAGTGATTTCAAATAGAAAGTTTCATCTTGTATGGAACATAATTAGAGCTTGTTAAAAATTCCAAGTCTATGTACTAATGGTGTGTTAATTATGATTATATGTGTGATGAATTAAACATCACGTATCTTAATTAAATTTTAATTAGTGATGTTGACTTACTTTTTCATATTTATTTAAATATAGCTTTTTATATATTAGTATTTCCATTTGGATCTTTTCCCATTAGACATGAAAATACACATATATTATACGATTAAGAGTATTTTCTATTTATTATCTATGTATTATAGCATATGAAACTGATTTCCTAAGCAACTTGCAGGCGGTCGCATCGTCTGCTACGTTCAAGATATCTGCTACGTATTGATTTCTTAATTGGTCAACTAATAATACGCTTGCTACTATCAACGTCATCAACGATCATATGAATATAGAGAATCAGGTCCTCGTTTAATATAAATAATAACTTTGAAAGTCCATTGAAAAATTATTAACAACAATTCTGATTATAATTGTTTTTAATGTTTTACCAGCGCGTCAATCGTAATACGTAAGTAGAAAGAGCCAACAATTTTTCGCATGAATCCTACATCACTGTACGATTGTTTATGTCAATTTGACTTGAGGAGGAAAAGGTCGGAAATTGAGCAATATGTGATTTTTATCTGGCGCGTATGTTACGTCGACTTATGCTGAACCTCCCCTCCTGATTAAGAATGTTAGATACGGTTAAAGATATGGTTAGTTTACGAATGGTGCGCCTCAACTTTAACAGTTGTTCGTTTTAATCTACTATTCTTAATATATAATATTTCAGCGTACAATGCGCGAATGTGTGTGTGTGCCACGGAGAGAATTATAATTTCTTTCCATATAAATTTTTTCCAATTTTACCATATTTCTAATAGTCCAGGAATAGACTGTCAGTAAAGTTGATTCTAGGAACATCCTTTTTTTAATAAAAACGTAGCAAATTTTTCAATAGCACATTTTAGTTTCTAAAATACAAGTAGCGCGTATAAAATAGAAGGATAATTAATTACAGTAAAGTGTCGATCTATTCTTCAATTATAAAATTCTATAGTAATTTACTATAAAATTTTCTATACAATAGGCACACTGAAAGAAATGAATATTTGGTATTTATAACTACAATTACATAAAGAAATAATTATGATCAAAAAACCATTTTTCAGTGAATTTTACTGTTATTACTATAATACTATAATAATTTTAAATATATATTACTACTACTATTTTCGTGTTAGCACGACCAAAATATATGATTAGAGTCAAAAATAATTCTAATTTTAGTTGATATAATCATTTTTTTTCTCTCAGTGCAGAAACATTGTTTCTGCGTTTTACGGCATCCTTAATTTACAGGATACGCAGCAGCGTAGAAGATGTCTTCCGTATTTACAACACAATACGGAAACAATAACATGCTAACGACGCTAATAACATGTTACGTTTAAGATTTGCATAAAAATGCAAATGGCTAAATGTGTTAACATGTTTTTTCCGTTGAATTAATATTTATATAGAGCAATTATAATTTTTGTATATCATTCATATTATGAATGTGATTTATTCATCCAATTTATATTTTTACTGTTAATTACACGCCAAAACACCCGATACGGCTATTGTTACGCAAATATATCGCAAATGAAGATGTCCTTAAAATAGCTAAGCTGCTTTATTATCCTATCGATTCCCGGACACGCGCGTATTATGTAAACAATTAATGCGTGGATGCGAAGCCACAGTTGCGGTAATACGTGATAAATATCCGAATACTTTAAACTTCGGCGATGTCACGCAACGTTTATGTGTGAAACCTGGCTTCCAGGTATAAAATCATTCATGGATTTATTTTCAATGTTTCATGAATGTTTAATAAAATGACGACCTGAAATTAGGCTCGTTTTTTTATTGAAAAAATATTCTATAATGTTCACGTACACGTGTCGCGCGCACATGTAAAACGTCGAAAACAAATTTATGAAGGATATATAATATTCTTTTCATATTATATATTTATATATTCATGTCACAACACACACACATACACACACATTCTTACGCTGAAAATGTTTGTGGAACATTCTATTCCATACATACATATGTACATATGTATGTATAAATTCGAATCTAGATCTAGATTATTGTTATTTTAATATGATTCTTACAAGAGGAACAGAGCCCATGTGTCATTCTAATTGCGAAGCGTCGAATTCTATCAATTACATCCATCTGAACTTTAAAGAGAACCAACATAACAGCCATTATTTAATATTTCTTTTATTCGCTCACAATAAAATTTCCGTCCTTATGTTCTCTACATCTTTAGAGCTTTACCACTTAAAAGAAATCCTCAGCACGCTCACAGAGATCTGGCGCGTTCAATCGTTGAACGCGTTGTGTCTATTCGTGGCAGTGCCCACGCATTCTTGCTCGACTAGACTAGGAAACGTCGCGAGCCTGAGGAACGCACACAACGTACACAACTACAACGTGCACGTGCCATGCGCACACATGCATGGTCACGTGCGACCACAATGTTTCAACTCATCGACTGGTAGATTAGATAGGTGTTTTATCTCACAGCCTCCGAAGCGCGGATCGCAGATCGGACTATTAACCAGACTAAGAGAAGCGATCAGCGAGGAAGTCGGCTACTCGTGTTCAAGGTGTACATGCTGAGGAGTGGAAGCCGTGCGTGCGGAAATACTCGTGATCGCCATGAAACCTTGGACCAACAAATCTCTAGGATTAGGTGTCATTGGACTGTTACTAGTAGTCTGTGGCACATCTCTTTGCATTCTCTGGCCAACGGTCTTTCATCAGATTCTCCAAAAAGTGAGTGCAAACGTCGATCTGAAGTAGTTTATTTTTCCATGGCTCGGAAACTCGTTTAATAAAGTAATGAGCTATAACAAGCTATAATGAGTTACAGGTTACGAGCTCTCTTTCTGAAAATATTATATAAAGGAGTCATTACCTTAGGTTATCTTGAAATTATAAATACTTAGCAATGACCTCAACACCTCACAATTATGTCCCTGACAGGCGAGATCAAGTTTTTAGTGCTAAAGATACGATTATTTCGCGAGAAATATGTCATAAATATTTGTTTAGATAGACGATAATTAGATGAAATACCCATTTTTTAGCACTATTTTTAGCATTAAAAATACGATTGCTTCGCGACAAATATGTCTTATAAATGTTTATTCAGATAGTTAGATGACAATTCAGATAGGTTAGATGAAAACCTATCATTACGAATGTCTAGTGCAACCTAACAGACGCGTTACAAAATGCACTTTTACTTCGAGCAGGTTACGAGTTACTCATTATAAGACATATTTCTCGCGAAATAATCATATCTTTAGCACTAAAAACTTGATCTCGCCTGTCAGGAATATAATTGTGAGGTGTTGAGATCATTGCTAAGTATTTATAACTTCAAGATAACCTACGGTAATGACTCTTTTATATAGTATTTTCAGGAAGAGAGACACAAGCGATACAGATTAACACAGTGTTCGATACAAGTAGTATTTTACTGCAATGAAACAAATCAACATGACACAAATACACACGGCTGAAAAGCGAATCAGTATTTTGTGTCGAATTTATGTCTACTAATCATTTAGAAAGTATAAGAAATTCATGTATATGAGCTCCGTGTTTTGTTTGTTGTCAGCTCTTAGTAGTTATATGTTATTAAATTGATTAAATTATCATTAATAAAGCTGTTCTATTGCAAATATCGTTCGAGCGAAATTAGTTCGTCAGATAAAATTCCAAGACATATTTATTCTATTCAAAAAATAATATATTCTAATAAAACTGAAACTTTTATCTTTATGTCTGATGATGACAACGTGAATAGTTCTTATAATACTCAATATATATTTAATAATAAGAAATTATGAATTTTTCCAAAACATACACATTTATATTTTAGAACATAATATAATATGTTGGTGTTTACAATGTACAATGTACAATATAATTTTACAATGTACAATATAAATTTTACAATGTACAATATAAATTTTATACAATACACAACTCTCAATTTTTTTAAATAATTATTTTGAAAGAAAAATTTTGAGTAAAAGCTTCAATCTTGACACTGTATTTATTTGTCCTTCTTCCTGGAAAATAAAAAAAAATGTCCTTGCAGTAATCTTAGATAACTTATTAGAAATAAACAAAATACTCTATAAATGTCGTATGAAATAGTTCGATGATTAATGTTTTATGCAAATTACATCCAACAATAAAAATACGATCGATGTTGTCAATGTCGGTCGAAATCTTAACTTTAGTCTCTTCTGATTCTTTTCTGATTCTGAATATATCGAATAGATATGACGCTTTCCGAGAATATGGTACTCATTGTTCCTCATCGCGACGCATTAAATATCGGTTCATGTTATTAAACATAAACAACAAATCCCGAAACATGCAAAAAGAAAAAAGCTCGGTAGAAAAAAGTAATTATGATAAAGAAATTAAGTTAATTTGATAAATAATAAATCAAACATTGTTTTGATTTAAGAAAACAGAATTTCTTATTCTTATTCTCGTTCAGATTTAATTCTAAAACCCGGAAATTTTACTTCCTTCAAGCAGAAATTCATTTGACGTATTCATTATCAAGTTCAACGGTCAAACTTCTTTTCACGTATGGATGAGATACGCGACATGTCATCATTTATAAATCACATTTCGCTTAGTATTTTCGTCCGCGTTATGGATAGCCTCTCCTTCCTGGGTTATCGCCGCCTTTCCCCCGTAGCTGCGATTATATATTTAAGTTGGCGTTTTGTAGCAAAATGGCGGGCGTCAGTGACTCAGCAAACGGTGACTTATCATCGCTTATCGAATTTTCACAGAGGGAAACGCACGACGGAGCCGCGACTTGTGCTCCTCATCCGCGGAAAATGAATTACCGTGTCGCGTTGGCGCGTGAAAACGGCACCGTGCGTTGCGCCGCATGCTAAGGTCGTTTACGACAAGTAAGATCGCTCGTTGGACTGCTCCACATACTATGCATTTGCAGACTGAACACTTGTCTCGGCGCTAGTCCCGGCCCGATTGGAAAAGTGGTCGATTGTCCCATTAATTGGCGTTCCTATGTATCGTGCGGCCTGTCACGAACGGCTTCACGCCACTGACAACATATAGCAGCGCGTGAATAATCTCGCTGCTGCTGATGAAAGAGTAAACGTAGGAGCACACCGTCTTGCTTCCTTGAACACCGTTTGTTTTCCTTTCGCCGTCTTATGTCACGAGTAATTGCGAGAAATGCGAAGTTTATCAAGCATTATTAAGCAGGTTCTTATCAGAGATTATTGCTGCCAGGTGCAAGCCGATCGTGTTTATTAACTGTAGTGCGATCGATTACTATATCGCCTAGTATTCTAATATCGTGATTCTAATCTCGACCGTCACGGGGATCGAGTGTCATATCTCGTTTATTTAAAATGCGTCGAGTACATGTAGCTTTATTTTTAACACCTAGTATCACGAAAGACAGTCATTATCGCGAAAGACAATTGCTAACACAGAACTAATGTATGATAAGTAACACATATTTGCAAAACATTCTCGTATAATTCCACTTAATACTACAATTCTAGACAAAATCGTAAAACTTGTAACTTGTTCTCGTAAGAACTTATAAGTAGATCTGCAATTCTATGCGGACCGTATGTCATACTATAACTCGTAAATGTCTTCGTAAATCTTACGATTAACAAAAAATTGTAAATAAAGTTACGGTTTGTGAATTTTACGATTAACGTCGCCAACATTACAATTAATTCATAAGCTTCGACTTTACGATTTTCTCGTACGATTTACTCGTACACATAATATATACATTAGCAAATCTTTTAGCTATCAAAACTAAATAACTTCTGCTATGAAAGCAAGAAAATTTGCTCCTGCAGTTAATATTTTTAGTTGTCCATATATTAGCAAATCTTTTTCCGTGTTTATTTGCTCAGAATTGCAACATAAATAATTCAAAAAAACTACATGCGCGTTTCATAAATGTCTCCTTACGTTATTACGTTAATATAAATTATTAGAGACGCACGACTTCTCGTTGATTACACATACAAAATTGTTTTACATCGGGAAGTCATCTAAGTAATACATTTTAGCTAAATATAGTAATGTTGCTCTGCAAGAAAATTAATAGCATATATTCTAAGCATAAATTAAAATTATGTGTTGATTGACTATACGCGACTATTTGCCGTCATCGGTGAACGTTCAGTCGCTTTTCATTTCCGCCGTACGATACATTCCACCGTTAAATTACCTTGCATTTCCAGGGGTTGGCCCTCACGCCGACTTCAAAGAGTTTCGACATATGGAAGGACACCAGTAACATCCCGCCGATGTACTTGGATATATATTTCTTTAACTGGACCAACCCGCAGGAATTTGAAGTATCTGGAAAGAAGCCGCATCTCGTTCAAGTTGGCCCTTACAGTTTCAGGTAGAAGACCTTCATCCAAATATTCGCTTTCGAGCATTCCATTTAATTAACAAGGTCGCATCGATCAAAATAAGAACAAAATATAAAGGCATGTGTTCTTGCGTGTACATTGGCAAGGCCGATTACCCGATTCCCTTGCGCATTTATAAGAGTCGCATATAAAACAAACTCGAGTAACACTTTCACTTACACAACAATTAATACGTTCAAATAACTCCTACGTCGTGACATCGCACGTTTTGTTCTAGTCGATTCTATAAAATGACTTTTTTAATAATTCACTGATATTATACATTCGATATAAATATATTACTGTAAAATATATTGTTGCATCACAGTTAAATACTGAAATATGAAAATAAAAAACTTGCAAATTGCAAGTTATTTTGTTGCAAAATATACGAACTTTGACAGATCAGTTGAGAGGAAAAGTCAAAGACAATATTCGGACTATAAAGAGCTAAAGACAACATTTAAACTCAGTATTATTTCTGATTACTATCAGTTCAATGACAAACTTCGACGCAAACAACAGACATGTCGGTAGCTGGATGAAATTACTATCGTTGATCAATACGGCCATGAAAACACATAAAAAGAAACACCTTTTTTATATTAATCTTTCATGTAAATACACGCAACATGATTATAACAAATAGTGTCACGATTTTTATGCTAACTATATTCTAAACGACTGTGACGACTTTATTTTATGGTAATTTTATGGATGAAAAAATCATGTTTCTTATAGCATTATAATCGGTTTTTTATAACCAAACAATCCTCTTATTCATTGAACAATACGCGACGAATATATAACCATAATTACATATTATTCAATGAATAAGAGGACTGTTCGGTTAAAATGTTATAAGAAACATGATTTTTTCACCCATAAAATTACCATAAAATAAAATACACAGTCATCTAGAATACAGTTGTTAGCATAAAAATCGTGACACTATTCGTTAATAAGTTTATAAACACGCGAATTTAACGACACTGCGAATCTCTATGCACGAACTTGAGCATTGGAAAGTTTAAGAGCTGCCACATTTCTAAATACTCGATGTAAAAAAGTAATTCATAAGCAGAAGCATAAAAATATATTACTGTATTATATAAGCTTGTCCAAAGAAAGTGTCGCAATCTTTATACAAACGACTGCACATTAGACATCTCGAGTGGACATCTTAATGAACAATATCATGCTCGATTGCAGACCTTGGCAATGAAAGCGATCTTCGTTATGCGCGGAAACCGCAGAGAGCAAAAAATTAATGCGTCAATAAAAAGTATCGTTATTGCTATTGTCGACATGTCGTCATTAGTTAAGCGGAAGGAAAATATTCATAGTCTAACGATAACCCGACCGCCTACCCGAATCGAAACTTTGACGTTCTTAAGGATAGTTTGCGCTTACTTTAGAAGGTTTATAGCCTAGATAAAATCTATTTTGACGATACTGATAATCATTAACTTCTCTTTTGAATCTTTAACTTTACCTTGTCACTTTTGACGCTACTTTGACGCTCTTAAAAATAGTTTGAGCTTACATAGATAATCTACATAGATAACCTAGGTGAAACCTAATTTGACAATATTGACACTCATTTCTAAGTCAAAATTTGGACTCTATGTTGAACCTTGAATTCTACACCGCAGTAGGAACTAAGATAGCAAAGTAGGTTTAATTTTAATGTTATAATTTATTCCTACTTTGACCCTAATGATTGAAATATATGCAATAAATAAAATGTATATTTTGTATACTATTTGACATTTCTGTTTCGTTATTTATTAAAATTTTTAAATATTTCTATAAAATATTTACATATATTCTATGTAGGAGCTAAAGTTTCAAGAGGTTTGCAACTAAACCTACTTTGCTTCCTAAGATCCTATTTTATACAATCTACTTTGAGGCTAAAGAAAACGAAAGCGGAAATTTCAGACATTATCAGAGTCAAAGTAGAGGTAAATTATATCATTAGAATTAAACCTACTTTGCTATCTTAAGTCCTGCGGTGTAGAATATTCAACATAGGGTCAAAATTTCAAGTACCTTATTAAATGAAGCGCAATGAAAATTAAATTATTCTAATCGGACTAACCACAAAGTTAGAACGTGGTAACAGACCTAATGTGGCAATATGAAGAAGAAATAGTTAACCCCGCTATATTGACATCTTAACGAACAATAAAACGTTCCGGTTCAGTCGTGCGGGACGCGTAGGCGATGCCGCATTCAGTAATTGACTAATTAATTACTTTCTCCTTGGTCGTGGACCATAACTACCAAGTATCGTGACTTCGAGCAGAGGCATACTTTTAGTAGCTCGTGTCCTTCGTCGCGCGACTGGTTTACGTCGATTGTGATTTCGCGAATTCCGCCGAATGCCGATAAAAAGACATGAGTAAAACATTGACCTAGAGAGATGATTGCATACGTATCTGTTTTTTCATTCCGCTGCATTTATGACTAAGTCACAAATCAAATGATTGGTCCGTAATGACAGGTATAATATCGTTCCTTGAAAAGTAAATGGAGCATAATGATATCGACAAACCACTTACTTGATAATGGCATTTACTCGGAAGAGCGAAATTAAGAAAATCGTCGTGATCGCGAGATTAAAAAATTTACTATTGCGAGCGAAATAAAATTCGATTTGTGTATTGTAATCTCACCTCCATTTTTCCATTTTACGTATCTCTACGTTGATTGTTAAACTAAATTGTGATAACTGCACGAAAAAAGAGTTTCGTATGATTGATTTTCTGTTACCTGGAGACTAGACGAAAACTCGATTGTAAGAGCATAAAGATTCCTTGGGAGAATTGTATTCGATCATATGTTGCCAAATATCTCAATCTAGTCTGACACAGTCGAATGTTTAAACAAATATACTCGGTCGCGATAACAGAGATAATAGAGATAATAGATATATTTTATTTCTCGTCAACGAGTTTTCATCTGACTCTGTTCTGTTTTACAAATTGAGATCCTTTTTAGGAATCAAAATATAAGATATATCTACGTCCAATCACTCTCTCATACGCCTCTGGCTCTCCTCCTCAACAATATATTACCGCTTAAAATAGTACTCTCCCCTTGAAATTTTGCTTCTACTATCGCGCTTCCGTCCTTAATCTTGTGCCGCTTACAAAACAAAGATTGTCTTTGATAACAAGAGAACATTGAGGCATGGCCATCATCATTACATACGTACGTCCCTTACAGCAATTGTCCCGCTCGTACTAATAAGCAAAAGATCTAGGTCAGATGTCTAAATCACGTTCGAATAATTGACTTCAAGATTATTGAACCAAATTTAAGACCAATGATAAATTGTGCCAAAGGCGCATACATAATTAGCAAACATTAGACAATGAGTGATTTGCCGATTAAAATAACTGAGGAAGAATGCCATGTTATTAAATCAATGTCAAGTTATATAGTTATAATCTTCTCTACACAAACTACATTATAACTCAGTATTTACACAATTTACGTTAAAATTATATTTACCTAATAGATGAATTGATAAATTCATCTGTTAAACTGATAAACGTGTTCGAAGGAAATTCTTACTGCGTAAGACTGTGAAGAGGAAGGAAAAGAGAGAGAGAGAGAGAAAGAGGGGGAGTCGTAATTATTATGACTAAACATTTCAGAGAGATAAGACAAAAGGCTAATATCGTGTTTCATCCTGAGAACAAAACCGTCAGTTACTTTCAACGACGATCATGGTACTTCGATGCGGAGCGCAGCAACGGAAGCCTCGACGACATCATCAACCATGTGAACGTCGTCGCTGTGGTGAGCTGCCTCATTGTATCTTTTGTCGCATACTCAGTACGGTAAATTGGATTCTTAATCGCCGATTGCGAGAGTGAAAGAAAACGATTGCGTGCATAATCTCAGGACATATTGGCACGCAACTGCGAAGACACTCTCGCGCTCTATCTCAGTTCTACCCCGACGTGAAATAAAAAAAAAAGAAAAATATGGAAACATTATCAATCTGTACTAGGGATCGTCACTATAAAAACCGATTTTTGTATCGTTTTTGTATCGAACTAAGATCGATTCATTAAAAATATCGGACTGATCGATTCTGTGAAAATCGATATAGAAAAATCATTAGAAGTCTCACCAAATCCATAGACATCTATCATTTAACCATATTTTTACATGGTAACGTATAAATTTTTCTTCCAGATTAGTTATATATGAAGTGTTTTTTAAGCTTAGTAATCTTAATGTGTTTTTAAAAATTATAATAACTATAATATAATATACTAGACCGTTAATGTTAACTTCTTAGATTCCTCCGAATATACAACTCATAAGCCAATATTCATAGTCGAATCTTAAATTTAAGACTGTCTTAAGTTCATCTTAGTTAAGATACTTCGTAGCCAATGAAATAAGCCATACAGCATCTGAAGATGAATTTAAAATGGTCTTCAATATAAGATTCGACTATGAATACCAGATCTTTTATATATGACGAATAAAAAATCGATTTCCTATTAAAAGAATCGAGATTTACGTAAAAATCAAATTGATAATAATCTATTTTTGTGTTAAGAAAAAATCGATTTTCTGAAAAATCGGTTCGGAATCGAACGTTCCTAGTCTGTACAGGAATAAAAACGCGGAACTCTCTCAGGCTGCATCTAATATCTACGTCTACGTCTTGTTTGAAGTCGGCAGCGCACGCAACCCGCTACTGGGACTACAGTTTGCAGAAATCGTTATCCATACTCCTGAGCACCACGAAATTGTACGTCACGAAAACGGTGAACCAGTTGCTGTTCGTAGGCTATCCCGACAACCTCCTCTCCATGGGCAAGATGATGGTCTCCGATATTGACATGCCGCCTTACGACCGTTTCGCCTGGTTTTATATGGTAACGACCGTCAACAAGGCTGGTGACTTTTTTTTCTTTACGACGAGTTCTATCCGCGTACGACAAAGAACTACCTTCATCCTCGCGCGTTGTGTCAAATGCGTGCACATCATCCTCGAGGACACCGATTTTACGATCGGTCGTTTGCACGCTTATGATTTCATTTTTTATGCAAATTTGTTATTCACCTTGAATGCCCGGTTCGCAATATCTTCGAGCAATATCGAGAAACCAGTCGAAATTTCCCGTTTTGGTATTGCTCTTTCATAAATCATATTTATCCCTTCCTTCTTTCCTCTCTCTCTATCTCTTTCTCTCTATTTCGTATACGAATTAAAATTCAATTTGAAATGCTAACGTCGAAGGCAAACATTATAATGATGTCGAGGATCAGTATGAGCACAACTAGCAAACTCTTATCGAGATTAGTTTATCTGTTAACATCGAGTGCGAATAACGTGCAGAAGCTCTAGGTGGCACGGTAACTAGCAATGACGTTACAGTCAATGGTGAAGTATTCGCGACCGGGCTTAAATTAGTAATGAATGGGAGAGGTTCTATATAGGTCGTCACGTAGTGAATGAAACGCGATGAAGATATATTATGCATTATATCGATGCATGCGTTCTATACAAAACAACTTATAGCTGATATGGAAGCGTACTCCAAATAAATTTCGGCACGATAAGTAGTCACGATCATTGAAACGTCTAGCTCTCGTAGAGATCGTTGAACTCGAAAGAAACAATAAATCAATGACCGTTGTGTCATCACTCGTAAAAGAACGACTAGAGATCGAAAAAATATATAACACTTTTGTAAACGACGATATTGACGACAAGAAGCCGCGAGTGATTTTAGGCGCATCTAGATAAAAAATTGTGTATGAAAAAATTATTAAGATTATCGAACTCTAAGTCGTGTAATGATCGGTCACTGCTTTAACCTCTCAATTGTGCGTAGAGAAATAATTCCGCCGAGATGGATGGATTATTTAATATGGCAACTGGCGAGGACGACATCAAACATTTGGGGATCTTAAGAAAATGGAATTATAAGGACACAGTAAAATATCGTAAGAGTCCGTGCAACATCATCGAGGGTAGCGCGGGTGAATTTTGGCCGCCTAACAGAATGAAGGACGACATCACTTTATTCAGCGCAGACTTATGCCGGTTGGTGACAAATTTCATCAAACTTACGGAGATAATATAAAACACGGTGCTTCCTTTGATATGCTATTAATCGATAACGAGTCGAGTGATACTTAATGAAAAATTAAGTTCTTGCTTGGGGGAGCTTGCACACGCACGCTTTGAAGCGATTTAATCATCATTGTTTTTATGCTGTTTGTATGCTACATGGATAACAGCTATGATTGGATTATATTTTATCCTATTTACACGCAGTACAATATAGCATACTAACAAGCGTTGTTTAATTGTCTGCGGATCGCCTCATTAAACAGACTTAATAACGCCAATTTGCATTTAATCGATATCATTAAAATTATTATTCATTATAAGTTGCAAAATGGACGCGCGATATAATTACAGAGAAAAAAACTCGACTCGTATAATTGATTTTCTGTTGCCTGAGTCCAAACAAAGATTCTATTGCAGGAACATTTTCTAAAAATTTTTTTAGAAAATTTCTATTCGGATACACACACACACGCATATATATATATATATGTTCTCCATTGTCTCAGCTTAACTTTAATGTAGAAATGTTTTTAATCGCGATAATAGAGATATCGTTTCTCTAGTCTAGTCCTTAGTCGGTTACACGAAGATTTTTCTCCATATATGATTTGCTATTTTATATATCTATATTATTAAACTCAGTTATATTAAACTCTATTGTGACTATTAGACGTTATAACAGAAATATCGTTCCTCGTTATCAAACAATTTTTATCTGATAAAATTCCAAAAAGCTCAAACCTCCGATTAGGCTGAATTTTTCAGAAAAGTTTCTCTTTAGCTCTAAAATAAAAATTCTTAAAGGATTTTTACGATAAAACCCCATTCGCCTTCTACTCTCGCTCAAAGTTTAAAATGTTTTTTCACTGTATCTTCGAAAATATTGATTTTGGAGAAAAATGTCTTACACACAGATGAAAAATGAAGCTTGTAAAACATTCTACAAGAAAAATTATATACATTATTAACATAAGTGCAATATTTTTGCCGTTATGTTGAAAAATAGATATTTAATACATCAATGAAAAGGTTGCTCTCAAGCTTTCCTGAAAAATACAGCCGAATTAAAAGTTTGGGCTTTTCAAAATTGCACTCTTTTTGTCTATTGCTCATTCTGTTACACTAGATACAATTTTTTTTTCCGTACGCACATTGGCGCAACGCGCCCATTAAACACGTGACCCCTGAACAGTCACTCCTATCTATTATCTCTACAGGCCGCTAGTTTATGAATACGAGCGGACAGTGTCACACTTGGGCATCGAAGGTTACCGATACATAATCGACAAGAAAACCCTCGGGAACGCAACGCGACGACGTTACCCGCACGAGCAAGCCAAATTCTTCGAGCCGACCACGACGACCGAGGACTTTTTCGCGGCTGAGCACTCGAGCGAATTCACGGGAATCCCTACGACTACTGAGAGTTCAAGTTCCAGCTCCAGTGAGGAGTACTCGTCCGCGGACGACCTATCCGACAACGACCCGGATGTCATCAATATGGGTCATTGCTACTGCAACGGCGACTGCACGCCGTCGGGACTGATAAATATAAGCGCGTGCCGTTTCGGCGCACCGGTCTTTGTCAGTTTACCTCACTTTTACAAGACTGATCTCAGCCTACTCGAGCAAGTCGAAGGGCTGAACCCCAACGATGAGGACCACAGCTTCTCCATTACTTTAGAGCCCGTAAGTGACGACTGTCTGGTGGAAAGCGTCAGTGAGTACGGACGCGTACTCGCGAGCGCGATAGATCCGTCGCGATCAAAATAACAACGGCCAATCACCTCGCTACTATTGCCAAGATACTAATTTTACTATTGCTTTTTATTCGGGCTATCGAGCACAGAGGATGTGGTTGCTGCGATAATACATACGCGCCGTTGGAAACGTACGAACAGCGCGTGTTGCGCTCACGCGATTTTGCATTTTTTATTCATTTATTGCGCGTGCGCGCATGAGATTAACACGTTTCCTTCTGTAAATATGAGTATTGATCTACCGTCTGTCGTCGTGTACTTGTAAATTGTTCAAACTGAACAAAAAAGTCGTCTACCATTTTGCATATATAAATGTTTTGTTATTAATTAAGGCTCCTGGCCCCTCGCATTGTCTATCTCTTTTTAATGACATCAGAAGGAAGAAAATGAATGCTAAAAATTTTTGCAAAATACGTTAAAATAAAAATATAGATCCATAAAGTAACACTTGCAATCGATTAAACAAATTTGTAAGATATTTAAGTGCACTCCCCTTTTGTTTTAACAATCAATAATTTGTCGTAAATTAACGTGACATACAATTCATCTTTTTAATCTATTTCTTCGCCTATTTCTATTTAGATTAATTTACAATAAATTATTGATTGTTAGAGCAAAAGGGGAATGCACGAAATATTTTACAAATTTGTTTAATCAATTGCAAATATTACTTTATGGGTATATATTTTTATTTTAACGTATTTTGCAAGGATTTTTAGCATGCATTTTCTCGTTTCTGACGTTATTAAAAAGAGATAGACAATGTGAGAGGTAAGAAGCGTTTAAGAAAATTAGTGCATGATTATGTATAATAATATACATAACCATTTGCATTACATTTGCATTACATTTGTATTACATGTAATCATTTGCAAAATAGCAGAGAACTTTTTCATCAGAGACGTCGTCATCACGACTTTATCGTAACTTTATTATCGTGACGTATTTTGTTTATCGTATCGTGCGTGATCATTCGTTAATATTTCCATATATCTCCATATTTAATATTTCCATATTTCCATCTTCCATATGAAAACATGCTTGATGTTTCAGATCACGGGAATTCCCTTGGAAGTGATAGCCAGATTACAAATTAATGTACTCATACAACCATCAGACACTGTGTCGTAAGTATGTTTCGAGCAATATGAAGATGCGACCCTCGCTACAACGTCGAATTAGGGTGAAAATGTACAGGATGTCTGATGCGATTTGCATGTCCTCTCGTGTAAAGGTAGAGCTCGCCGAATTGAACAAAAATGTCCCCCACAATTTTGCGAACAAATATGTGAATTTTTAAGATATTAATTACAAAAAAGTGGCAACTAAATACACATGGTGAGATGGACTCTTTAGACTCGTCCAAAATGGAATTTTCATCCAAGATATCTGATCAATTGACAATCTTTTGGTAACGACGAGTGGTGCGTAATGCTGGACAATGGAGACGTACATTACAATCCATCATTACGCACTACTTGTCGTTACTAAGAAATTGTCAATTGATTTAGACATCTTAGATGAAACTCCATCTTGGAATCAGTAGTCGTGTCTGTGTTTGTATATGACGTCAAACTGAACAAACAAGTTGTTTCGAGATCTTATTTATCATCTTGCAAGTAGTCTTTTTTTTATATATTAAAGATGAATAATACATGATTATATACGATAATGCACAATCATTTGAAAAATAGCAGAGAACTCTTCGATCAGAAACGTTGTCATTATAACTTATCCACCGATGATTATACGTTATTTACACATTCATCAAACTTTTTAATAACTGAAAAACCTGTACGTGATTGTTAGCAAAATAATAGAAGAACGTTGCGTTCAGTCTAATGAGCTTCACTGGTGTATCCACGGTAGAATAACATATCGTCAGATACTCTATATACTTGAATATTGCTAGAGAGAAAAATGTAGAAAAAAATAGAAGTAAAATGTTAATAATATGTTTATTGCCATCACGGCCATTATATATGACCGTTAGTCATTCAGAAACCAATGCAACACCGGTGTTGCATTGATTGAAACAATAAATGGAAATCACTATGGCAACCAACGTGTTAATTCCATGAACAATCAATTGTGACGTTTGAAGGAATTGAGAAAAAAATTATCGTGTCTGTTTAGGCTGTTCAAACACGTGCCCAAAATCTACATGCCGATCTTTTGGTTCAACTTAAAAGTAGAAGTCAACAAGGAGATGGCGTTTGATTTAAAGCAATTGCTAGCGCTTCCGACCGTGATGCTGTGTACCGGCATGATTGTGGCAATAGTTGGATTATGTTTGATTGGCACCGTAGCGCTCTTGTATCTTGTCAAGAAGCAACGTATACCTCCAGTGGTAAGTAAATTCATTCTTTCAATTTCTCTGTTTCCTACGTTATCCAGATGAGGACTTCGAGATTAAGGCGTACGACATGCATTTTTAGGAGATTTCGATGGAGAAGACGGTTGACGAGTCACTCGAGAAGAAATCGGAAACAGTGTACACGGACAAGATAGCCGCCAACGAGGACGCCAATGTCAGGAGCGATCGCCGTTTGTACGCGAAGCTCTATTGAGTATTTTCTCGGGAAACCTCGTTTACGAGACTACGTAGGGGACAAGAATGTGTAATTGTGCGACAACTTTGAAACGTGGGGCTTCAAAGATATGTCTTGAATAGATTTTCATGTGTCTTAGTTCGATTGCAGCGATCGTGTGGTTGACTGTCTCGAGATATAAATCTCAGCTTGATACAGCCAGCATCGTGCATGCCATACCATTTTCTACATCGAGAATTATACACGATTTCCAACCTAATCTGTGCACATATGCACGCATATAAGTCGAAACTATTATATAAGAACTATTATATAAGAACATTACGACTCTATTGCTTTAACTAGGTCTTTTTTTACGTATAATTGTATAACTTCTCGATCTATGAAATAGTGCGGCAAACATAACACTGGTATAAATAATACATATATGGTATAGAAAGAGCAAAAAACATTTGTGATGAAATTTGAATATTAAAACGTTGTAATGGATAACGTAATTTAAAACGATCCGGTACGTATGCGCATATCAATTCGTGATCTATATTAATAAGAATACAAGCGTAGTTAGGTTATTAAAAGTTATTAAAGAGTTGTTGAAAGTTACTGTGTAAGAGAGTAATTATGAAAAAAACATGAAATTTATAAGCATGATTATGCAGGCGTATACTGGTCGGAACAATAATGTATGCATTGGTTTCTGCGCATGATAATGATTTTCAATTGCATAGAAAACAAAAAATTACGTCTTGAATCAATATACATCACTGACGAGAGAACCGTTTTCTCACAATTTATCTCGAGATTTTACTCACTTTGCAGACGACGATTGTGATTGCTACATTCCTACATGACGTACGATAAAGAATGATATCGTCATAATAATATTCGGGTCGAATAATATTCAAGTATTGATTGAATGGTGCTCTAAGACTGACGAAATTGAAATAGTCGTGGCGAAACTCTAACTATTCTCACTTGTCTGCTAGTAACTGTCACGCATGTGCTTACAATTAGAATACAATGGACTAATCACAAAGGCAAATCAAACTGCAGATTTCATGTCGATTCGGTCGTTCTGTTGACTCATCGTGACACCAATGTTAGAGCTTTAACATATTAATAGGTCGATCAAGCGGCTTTCATTGTATTTGTATAGGCGAGCAGATATCCACACTACTGACACAGCTACCGATACCAAACCAACGAACAGACGCCATAAAAAACGCAGTTGAATGAAAGGAAAAGTACAAAAAACTTTATGCGATAATACACTGTGCGAAAACGAATATATCTTCCTACTCAAATTTATAATCGCAAAGTAAACGAGATGTGATATTATTTACAGAGTTTAGATAGATGTGATTGCCGAAAGATGCGAGAGATCGTACACAACGAAATCCATCGATATTTAAATGTATAGATATACGCGAGAAATACGCTGTTTTCGTGTGAAAGAATATCTGTGGCGTGCCTTGGTATTGTAATTAAGTGTTATCGTGTGGATTCGGTGTTGTGTTCGATATAAGCGTTGTTGCGCACCGTAAGAATGATGTTGCAGTTTCTTGCTTTCTTTTCTTTTTTCACAGAGTGCGTTTGTGCGATCGATGTGAAATTAATATGCGCGCCTCGTGAAATTAGGGAGAAACGTCGAGCAAAGAAAAAATTCCCGAACACATACCTAATCCTGGACATCTTTATAATTTTGATCTTTAAATACGAATATTTGAACTTTCACGATATAGAATATGTGTATGTATATTTTAAAGTTACATAAGTATATATAGTTAAAATTTAAATATTCGCATTTAGAAACCAAAATTAGAGATAAAAATTACCAGGCTTAAATATGTATCTGAGCATTGATATTTTTATATTTTTTAAGTCCGTATTAATAGTTGTTACTATTTGAAAATTATCTAGAAAAAATAGAATATTTAGCTTTGAATACAGAATTAGAAATGAGAGCTTTTCGCTTACTTCGCGTGCAGATCACAGATATAAGTGTCGCATACATATCATAATTCAAGTGGAAACTTGGATCTAACTCTGAACAAAATTCTCTCTGAGTATCTCACTGAACGAGAAGTTTCAGGTGATAAGTGATACGGGTCTTAGCGATTCCTTTCTCATCGATGTGTTACCGTGCGTCGAATGTCGCGAATTAGAAGTTCACTATGCCAATATTTTCGTTACAGCATCATTACGGGATAAGTCGTATGGCAGAATTTGTGATACTGAGAGTTACTTTATTTCTATTTGTACAAAAGCAGCCATCTACGAGTGCCAATGACATTTAGGCTAAGCGTTAATACTACGATGTATCCGACCGATGGGGATATCGCGGCATTTCATATGTTACCGATCCGAAGCATGACCTCGCAAGCAGTGCAATCGCGATATGTAAGAGTGTATTGTATGCTTTAATGTCTAAATATAATCAGGTATGTTGCATGCAGTACGGGCATGGTTCACCGGACAAAATCGTACGATATTGTATTTGTATTTTAATAAAGGGTCCATTTTTACAACACCATATCGTCTCATTTATCTCACGTATACAACAAAGCGCGTAAAGCAGCAATTTTGACGTTAAACTCCATAAAGACCCGAATTTACTTAAAGCTTAATTTTATCTTGTATTCACCTCGTTTATAGCGCTCGTCGCCTTCGAACGAGCAGCGGCGACGCTGATCCCTCGACTGCTTTATCGTTCACTGGTAACCAAAAGCTTACGTTCTCGTTCTTATCGAGCACTATCGTTCACCGTTCACGCGAATTACTACATTACCAGTGGTAATAAAAACATATTGCCTTTATTGATAAGATTTCCGATCATTTCTGACTGCAAAAAGACCACAAGAATTTGCCGTTAATGCCAAATTCTCGTGATCCTTGAGTAATATATGAGTATACAGATACGTCCTTACTTCAAAAATGCCAAAATTTGCAAAATTTATCTCCAATACCGACGCATTCATAAGGATGAGTTTGCACGTCATTCCTTCGTAAGCACATCACCAAAGTCTTCGCAACAGTAGCTCGCACAGTGCCAACTGAGCTGATGGTTCTGCCGTATCGCACACAAGTAAGAACACATTAATTGTTATCGCGTAGATTACAGTGCGTAAATATACACGAGAAGGTTGAAAGTATCGTAAAGACAGATCGAGATTGTAAACTAAAATGCCAAGTCAACATAGACACATAGAGCGCATTGTGCTGCCCTGCTTTATCGATTATTGTGAGCCTCGTGACTGCAAATATGCTGTTTGTCTCGTAAGGTCAGATCTAAAGAGAAGCTACTGCAAAATTCATTTTCATGCGCGATCACATCGGAGCAAGCTCGTTCGAGAATCTGTCGCGAGCTACCGTGCTAGCGACTCGAGAGACGATTATTGCCGTTAACTATTATTAGCAACATAACCTCCAACTCTGCTCGTCACGTTCAAGCGCAATCTTGTAATACCGCGCCGCTTACAAACAATATTCAAAGCGCTTCACAAGCGATAAAAGAATTCAAGGCCGGGAACCCCCACAACACGCCTCCGTATATATCCCCATAAGAAGTATCGTCGAGCTTACTTGATATTCCATCCTGACAAGACCTTATAACTTTTTTATACATCGCTATATAACCATCTTTATCGCCGCGCCGTAACTCGAGGAATGCGCCAATCAAAGGGAGAATAGCTGTTAGAGGCACAAACATTTTCCGTAATTCGCGTTAAACGCGAGTGCAAATACACCAAAGTGTCACGCTATCAATCGTTCAGGATTATCATCCACGAGAACGTGTATTATCGCGCGCATTTATGACAATGACGTAGTTCTCGTCGCGACAATATTTATGCCAGTATATGCATCATGAGCGCTGCTCCCCGCGTCTTGAGAAAAACACTCGTAATAAGGGATATTGGTGTGACAGCGCCTTCCATCGATATTCAATTTCCGATGCGCGGCAAAAATGCGCACACGTGCATGAGACAAAACGCAGTGGCGGAGAGCCGGCGACAGGTTGCAATACACGCACCAAGTGCAAAAGTTGCGCGTGCACCGATATTCTTGCCTATTCCTCGTTTTTTCTCGCGATTAATTTAAGCTGCTTAACGCGCGAGTGCCGCGCGCATAAACTCAGTCGAACTGAAATCACGTATTTAAAGCGGCGCATTCGCAACTGTTGACTTTGAATGTTGAATACGCAAACAACCGCTAAACAAACACGCCGGCCACGGTCGGGAGTTACAACGGCGAGACGCGCGCGTCCGCTCATTCGCTCGCGAAATGGAGGAATTTTAAGAGACGAGCAAAATTGAACACTTATAATATCCCGCAATGCGGCCAGTATCAATGACGAGTGATAAAAGCGCGAGCGAGAATTTCTACCGAGATGTTTTGCACGTCTCTAATGGCGGACTCATTAATGGTGTTTAACGACTCGGTCGAGTCTGATAACGTGAGAAAAATAACTGCTACACCTCCTCCTCCGTGGGGTTAAAAGATTATCTAACGACACTACACCATTGTTTGCATTATCAAAGCTGCGATAACGTATCACTCAAACAATCGTTAAAGACGTGCAGTTACGTTAACGTTCAACAATTGATGGTAAATCGTTTTAAGGGAATATTAAATTCCCTTAAATTCTGGATGAGGATATCCAAAAATGTTGACAACGTAAAGACAATCGTCAAAACGTCATGATAAGCACTAACACAATCACTCTGTTCTTTTCTATTCTATTTTTCTATTTTCTATAGTTCTGTTCTATTTTTTGCACATATAAATCTTATAGAAATGTGTGCTGCGCTTTTTGTTTCATCATATTTAGCGGGAAACATAATCACGCATATGTAGAAATCTTTCTGCAAACGTTTCGGTCATTTCTGAGTATCTCTCCAAATTCCGTTGTAAAGATACAGCAATGTTCTTTAGAATTTTCCTGTGCGGAGCAAACACATTCACTATGTCAGGCTGCAGAAACTTTTATATTCGGTAGCCAAACAATACAATCTTATATTTAGCGAAAATCCTCTGATATGTGCCTCAAGACGATTCTCCTAAAAAGGCAAATATTCTAACCACGATATTCTTAAAGTTGAGAAAATTTCGTCTTTCATCTGCAGTACAAACTTTATTCTTAATAGAAATCTCTGCTATAGTAAAAAGACATTCCGCTTCAATTAAATATATTCCTCTTGAGAGATCCAAAAGGAAAAAAGTTAAAATAATATCTATTAATCCAATTAATAGATCGCTTTGTTAAAAGAGGAATAAATAAATACTTTTTCGGCAAGAATTTTCATTTAGAATATGGGAAAATATCATCTCGCAACTAGAGTTCTTTTTTTTGCTTGTTGGGATATTTCTCTTTTGGTTTTAGAAGAATCCTCTTGAGGTCATATATGAGAAGATTTTCGCTAAAAATAAGATTATACTTTTTGCGTGGACAAATATTTATGCTAACTGGCAGCTCAAGATGTCAGTGTTAAAATTTTATGTAATTCTTATCACATACTGAGCAATACTCCAAGTTATTTTTGCATATATTTTCATTTTGTAAAAACATTTGTGATTCTGTGAAGATGACATTAAAGATGACATTAAAGATGACAAACTTTGTAGAAAAAATCAATATTTTGCCGCTGAAGTTTTCAAACATAACATTTCCTTAATTGCCAAACAATCCTTATTCACGTGAAAGTTCGCACGAAAGCAAAGATGCTTGCTTTGGAGACGAAGAAAAAAGCTAATAGGAGCCGATGCAAGATGTAAACTGTACGAAACTCACTCAATCTACAAATAATATAAAAAATGCGGTATCAAACAGACTGCTCTAAAAACCACCCAAACATTTCAATCGTGCCTCCAAGCCTCCCCAAATGCTTGCTTTTCTTCCGTGCTTATCCACCGCTTGATTCTTACGTCAATAATTTCTTCTATCACTTCTATCGGCCGCTGTGAAGGTCTACAAAGTAAATCGCACATGAACGTAGCGCAGGGAATTCGACCGAATGCGCGGCTTTCCTGAATTCAGTTTCGCTCTTTGCTTTTCCGCTCCGGCGAGTGAAATCTGCGGCGGTATTAGCATACGGACGAAAATTGGAACGTCTAATTGTCATGTCTGCCTGTCGCGCTATCCGAACACGGAACGCTTTTTAAAGCGGATATACTCAAGCTAGCGAGTGTCCCTGGAGGAGTGAACTATATTGGTTCTTTCGGACCAACGAAGAATAGCGTTCGCCGTTGTCTCGCGGAAACTCCCATTTCTCCGCTGCAATTTTTCTCGTCGCGGTGTCATTCTTGCCGACGAGACGGCCGAGACAATTCGTAAAATTTGAGGAATGCATCAACAAAATTGCGAGATCCTTTTGGAGAACAAAAATCGAGGATAACGCGTGTGATTGAGTACGAGCTGAGCAAAATAAAAAAATGTGACACGTGAGAAACTATTTCAAGCACCGGTTAGATAAGCTCTGCTTAAATAGGAGGTTTTGGGGAAACTCTAGAAAATTCTGCGATTTCACCCGACGACCGCAGAAACGAAAAGCGCAATATCGACTGATATAGACTGTTATGCAATGCTGGTAAGGATCGAACATTTCTCATAATTAAAAGCGCATCCATCGGCTGATTAAAAGCGGCCATCGCGAATATTACAGACTTTTGCGACGATATCCAACGAGTATGCCCAAAATTGAAAGGTATGAGAACGACGCGGTGTATGGTGTGCTACCAATTTTTCCACTGATGATTAATCGCGTAATCATCGTGAAGACATGCTATCAGACACGAAACGAGAACGAGAGAGAGAAAGAGAGAGAGAACATTGGATGAATTCATATAATCATCGCACATTTTGACGACGTTTCCAGGCGTCATAAAACATTTACCTTCATGGCGACAAAATCGTCAAAGATGAAACGTTTTCTAAGGAACAAACGGGCACCGCGTCACGCGAGAATGCACAAAAGAGCGGCAATTACGGCGCTAAGTAAATAAGCCGCCCTTCTACAAAAATGACATGATGGTCGTTGAGAAATTAACTCATTAACATCACTGACCTCCAGTTACATCGGTCTATACACGTATGCGATCATGTAGCGTCTCTCCCGAGCAAACATCGCCGAGGAATAGAGAGAAAGAGAGAGAGAGAAAGCATTTATTAATCGTTAAACCTGCCCTCTAAAAATTTTTTACTCTATAAATATATCCAAAATAACAATACATGGAGCAGTAAAATAATATACTCTGCATATATTAATGATAATATAATATATTAATAATAATATCACGCAAAAAATGATTCGGTTGGCATTACCGAATTTCAGTTACGACAACCGAAATTTTCGGTTCCTCAGGAATCAACTGAAAAATCGGTTGCTACAAAAAAGAAATTCTGTTGGAAAGTTTCTATTGGGCCAAACATATATTCGGTCATCCCAACAAAATTGAAATGTTGTGAAAGATACGATATTTAAAAAAATATACTTATATATTCCTAATTTTCTCATGTCTCATAAGCCACTAGGTATCGAAGGTTGTCAACAACATTCCAAAGCTTCGTGAATCCTCCCGCGATAATTTCGAGATCCCAAGCGGTATACCACCGGTCATCCATCCAGTCCTGACTCCGTTAAAAGTGTTACCTAACCTGACGATCGAGCGGCACGCGGCGATTCCCGATGACTCCAACAATATTCTTACGATTTGTGCTTATATAACGTATCCTTATAGTGTTCACAGTATATTATAACATATCTAGCAAACACCAAATAATAGTTATATAATTTTTACTTGTGTTACGTGTTTGTTGGATAATTTGCTTGATAGATATTGGAACAATGCGAATCAGTTCGATATCTTCTGTGAGAACAACAGAATAATCATCTGCGATAACCATTTTTTTGGAGCAGAAAATTTTAGTTCCTTCAATCAAAAGCAATCATTGATGTGAATAATTCTTCAGTTATTGGAACAGACTTTTCTGTTATTGCAACTGAACCTTATGTAACAGAAAGTTTCTAGCTGTCACTACAGAATATTTTTTTGTGTGTATATAGAGGAAAGTTTGACGATTTGATAACTAGTAATATAATAAGAGAAATATTTTTCTTGTATGTTGAAATATTTTCCTTTTAATTTGAAAAAAATCCTTTTGAAGTCGTAACATAAGAGGATTCCGCTAAGGATAAGATTATATTTTAAAATAATATCGATTAAATTGTTCGACATGAAGATCTCGCGGCTCATTAATACACGGGGTGCAATTTGATATCTAATTAATCCGTACACCTACGGATTACACAGATTGTAGTTGTGTACGTCAAAGAGTTCGGTTTCAGCGTGGCCTCGTTAGAAGTAATAGCGGGTTTACCTCCGTTGCCAAGACCGCAAATCGTAATTATCGCGACTTACATCTAGAAAAGAGATACACGCGCGCAACGCTTAGTCGGCGTACTTACCGTATGATTAAAAACAATTATGAGTATAATACGTAAGCCGAGTGCCATGCGAGAGGGAGTAATTATTCATGAATTCAGTGAATCGTTCAAAACATCACCCCATGAATTACTGTTGTCGGCACGCTGGAAGCGATAAGTTTCGTCGCTCCTTTTTCCCGGAAAACATTGCGAGTCTGGGACTGTTAGCATAAACCTGCCATATAATACGATCGGATGATTCAGAGTAACGCTGAAGACGTCATGGCAGGCTTAATGGTGGCTCTCAGTACCACTGTCAAATGAAATGCTGTGTTGAATAGTTCCGTACTAGAAGAGATAACGTTCGCAAACGTCTAATTGAATTCGTCGAATTTCTCTCGGCTTCAGATTACGTTCTCTCGATTACAAAGTGTTCCTTTGCGCGTAACGCTGCGAACATTCGCCAGAATTCATCGACGACTCGGACAATTCAAATAACCGTAATCAATGAGCATAACAAGGAAAATGAATGCTTACTTCTTTCTTTTTTGACAATTAGAAAATATCGAAAAAAATAAATGGTGTTTTTTGAAAAAGTAAAAGTATTCCCAAGCACGTATAGATGTAAGTGCCGTACTCTGTGACCTTTTTTTGATATTTCTGTTTTTATTTTAGTCATTTTGATTCGACTGGTAATACTAAAGGTGTATAGAAAACATGACTACAACTTCCATAGATAAGAACTCTGGCGGTAAACACAACGAATTATCACGTTAGCAAAGCCAAAAAATCACTAGATAACGCTGAAATCGATACGGTACGGCAATTAAACGCGGATATTCTTAACGTTTTGGTCATTAAATATGAATATTTAAATTGTCACAGAACATATGCATATGCATATATGTTATATGCATATATATTTTATGTTAAAAGTTTAAATACTTGTATATAAAGACCAAATCAATAAAAATGTCAAATATTAGGCACGCGCTCGGACATTGATATTTTTACCTTATAACATTCGTGAGAGACGAATAACAATATATAATTATAATTTATGTTACGATCGGAGGACTCGTTATATTCAGGTCACGATCGGATCGTGAATAAAAATACGACAAACTCTTTCTCTTCAACCTTCCCGTTGAAGCATGAGTATGTCGTGAAAGAATCGGTTCTCGTCATAGAAAAATACTAGCGCTGGCTTCCACCAATTATAAAAGTTCGACAAAATTAGTGCTCAGCGACTACTCTATAGGTCGTGGACCCTCGACAGATGTTTCGCCCCACCGTGCTGGGGCGAGTCACGAAAACGACCCTTGTTGTCGCATTTATGGTTCGTTCGGGGATCCTGCGCCGAACACATGTCGGTCGCACAACCACGACAAATTCTACGTAAAACAACACTGCGCGACTAACACGTGAATTCACTTCATCGCATTCACGGCCGGGACGCATGAACAGCGTAAACTGTCAGTCTCGTCCTTTCGGCAATCCCGTCAAAGCCGTTTAATGTTGATTAAGTCGTGCAAGGGCGACACCTTTGATTTATGATCCTGTTAAATTAATCAAATGCGGCGCCGATAAAACACGGTTTCAGCCGCACAAAGCTCTTGCTGTTTGTACGCGACGTATATTATTGTGCTTTCTCGAATTTTCGTGTCACCCCCTTTAATACACTCGGGCAATTTTCTAACACAGTCGCTTGGATAAATAACCGCGCGGAAATACAGGGAATGACTGTTTACTTTAGATCGTGCAGTGTTCCGTCGAGATTTATTTCGAGAAACGCGGAATGGCATCACGCGAAGCAATCGCGGAAGTATACGTCTCCCTTTCCGATACAGACTCGATACTTCTCTGCGCGAGACGATCATCGTGTGCTCCACATCACGACGCAATTCGCGAAACGTGTAATTCTCTACCCGTCCGCACGGAGGGATGAAGCCGTCGCCTCTCTCCAACGTCCAGTTCAACGGACGGTGAAAGGGCGCCGAAAGAGAAAATAGCGATTTTTCCGACACATAAAGAGGGTTCTCGCCGCCAGGAGCGGATATTCCACTCACTGGAACCCGTGACTAACGATTTCTATACGAAGAAAGAAGTTTGGCTGAAGTAAAGTGACCATAGACGAACCAAATGCGTTTTGAGTGCAAGAATTCCTGACTCTTATATGAACTAAATTTGATTCTATTAATAATGTTTTACTAATGTCTACTGAATTCCAAGAATTTTGAGGAAACAAATTTGGTTGAGGAAAATTCCTGGTTTTTATCAATTAAATTCGGTTCCAAGAACCAGAAATTCAAGGAAACAAAATTTCTTATTCTTAGGAATCAAATTCGATTTTATTAATAATGTTCTATTAATTTCTACTAAACTCCGTCAATTTTCTACTAAGTTCCATCAATTTTGGTAGAAGAAAACAGGATTTCTGGTTATTTATAAGCAAAATTTGGTGCTAAAAATCATAAATTCAAGGAAACAGAATTTCTGATTCTCATAAGCCAAATTCCGTCTTGTTAATAATGTTCTACCAATTTCTACTAAATTTTGTAGATTTTGGTCGAAGGAAACGCAAAATTTCCAATTCTTACAAACCAAACTCGGTTCTATTAACAATATTTCATGATAATTTCCACCGAGTCTTGTTAATTCTGACTGAAGAACACAGAATTCCTGTGGTTCTTATATGAATGAAATTCGACTGCAAGAACCAGGAACTATGTTTTCTTTACCTAGGACGCGTTTCATTGCCGCGTTAATTCCAGCCAATCTTTTCCCTGTGTACAGCCTGTATGAAGGCACGGCCGCGATATTTCCGCAACAGCCTCCCGTTCGCGAGTCGATCGAGCGCGCGCGAGCTAACACATGACACGTTCGTCCCTCTATCGCGAACGTCCCACGCGGAAATCCCGCGTCGAACGTGCGACGGAGCCGCGATAAGCCGCGACAACGACGGATCCTTCTAACCCTTACGACGGCTTTCGATTCGATCCACGCATTGCGCGCCCTTCCGCTCGCGCCGACAGGGCCACGAGAGAGGTGGCGAGATCGCACCACGTGTGTGTACACCGGCGCGGCGTTGCGGCGCCGCGAAATATGACCGACGGCCTGTACGTGCCATTATGTACGCCTGGATTTCGACGATCGGCCGACCGCTCCTCTCGTGGAGACAGTCAGTCGTTTCGAGACTGCCGAGTTGACCGGGTGTCGTCGAGAGCCGTAGAGAGCCGCGTCGGTTCGCGCTGTGTGTCTCTTCCCTCAGCTGCCACTTCTTCTCTTTCTCTCTCTCTTTTTCTTTCTCACTCTCTCGAACTATCCCCTCGTCCTTTCCTTTGTGAACTCACCCCATCGCGATTACGGTACACCCGGCGACTAGGACCATGGCGGGTTCGACGATCACGGCCATTCTACTGCTGGCGGCGACCCGTAAGTTCCATTCCACATAATTTCAAAGTTAACAGAATCGGGATTTCAACAAAAGAAGCAATATTTTACTATTATCAGCAGTGTGAGACCCGAAATTAAATGAGTTTGTGCTGAAGCAATTGTGGAGCATCGGATGATCGCATCTGGCTCGTGATTTCTCGTAGTCAATTATTGATGAGTGATTTGGGTTTTCTTTACGTATCGAAGAACATTGCAACAATCGGCGCGCACAATAGAACGCCTCGGTTGACGCTTTATTAAATATTGCTCCGGACAGCGACATTGCGTCATGGCTTCGTTGGCTTTGAGAAATGGATTTCGCAATCCTCAGCGCTATTTTGCAATAGTACCGCGAGCATTTCTCTTCGACTTTGATTGACGATACATGCGGCATACATGTCCCAGCTTGTTGACAGTCCGATGATGTTCGACGAATCGCGCGAGGTGTAAATCACTGTCGCGAGGACGATCGTTCGCGAGCAGCTCGAAGTGACGAGACTTCTCGCGAGAAACCGGCCGTTACGTATCGATCCTATTTTAAAGCCACATCCCGCGCGGCGGTTACGAGTCTGACACTTAGCAGATCGTGAAATCAGGTCTGGAGTATCTTTCTCCGTCGTAAATGCGGCACACCTCCTCGTGCATCAGGACCGAACGCCCGTCCTCTAATAGATGTATCGATTTTCTTTTTCCGTCGCGCGTTTATCCGTCCATCGCCGCGGGAATAGCTTCTCCCCCAAGAGTACAAGCTCGTGTCGCGAGCGGAGGCTACAGAAGAATTTAATTAAGACGAAGGTCATCAAAACCCGCGCGACTTTAATTACGACAGCATATAATTGCGCGTTCCAGCTTTTTCCCACAAATGAAAGTCCAATCAAGAAACCCGGGATCTTGTTCTGGACGCATAGCAAACGTTAAATATGCCCTTTCCTTACACCAAATTTCGTTTTTTTTTTTTATACAAATGTCACACATAACACTGTTTCAGTTTGAAAATCAGAAAGACATACCTGGCGTTCGATAAAAGAAAGGAATTTTATAGTAAAAATTACTATAGGATTTTTATCTATTCATTTCATAGGTACTATATTTATATTTTAGAGAGAGAGAAAGAGGAACTCTCTAAAATGTGCTATTAAAATTTGTTATATTTCTAGCGAAATCGCTTAGCAAGATAAGCCTTACTGACAATCTATTCCTGCATTACTAGAAATATAGCAAATTTGAAAAAAAGAAATTATACGGAAAAAAAATATTCTTTCTGCGTACGTCCAAACTAAAAGTTTTATCCTTTCTAGTTGAGCTGGTGCTACACTGAGACTTTGTTTCTCTTCTCCCTTCAACGTCACCTTCTGTACTAGTTTCGCTTTAAAGGTAAAAAATGCAACTCAGTTCAGCCGAAAAGAACAGATCTGAGTTAAGAAAGGTCGTCTCGTGACGAGACAATGAAATCGTCGTATCGTCGACTTTGAACGAGCGGGTCGCTCGACGGAGCGTGACTTCTCCGATCGGAATCTTTTTTTATGGATGACGTCGATTCAAATGTTCCGGCACGTTTGCCGTTGCAACGTACGAATGAACAATTTCGACGGAAAATCGCGCTCTCGCCATATGCGCGCCGTGAAAAGTCCATCTTCGTGCGCTTAAATCAATTTGCAGCTTACAATGCTCCAACTAGAAACGAGAAGAAGAGAGGGGATGAGAGTCGGACTTTATGGAGTACGATAACGAGGCTTGAAGTCCTCGGGACACCGCGGGACATCGGGCTAGGCCAACTTCAGTTAGCGCTGATTGTAGACAATTAAATTTTCTTTTGCTCGCGTGCGCGCTCTCGCACGGCACATAAATGAGAAAGTTTTCCGAGGGATTAAGCCGAGCACGATCGCCATTGCAGGGCGGAAGGATGGCTTGCGAAATTAAAGGACGCGGTCTCGAGACGATGACACGTAATAAATCTTCATTCGCCCCAATCGATCGCTAATAATAATCTCACGGTGACGCACATCGGTCTACTACGTATATAAGTTCGTGTGCTCGCCGAGGCATTTACCGTCTTACATAAAATTAGCCCTTGATTTTAGCTGTCGCGCGCCGGAAGCGCAATTAATCCCGGGATGTGCGCGGCCAATATTTACCGTGCGCGTCCTTTTCTTGCCAGGTTTCTCTTTTCCTCTTTCCAGCACCGTTCCTTTCCCTCTCCCTCCCTCTCTTTCTTTCTCTCTCTCATGAGAGATGCACAAACCTGCTTCCGACCTACCGCACGGCTTTTCCACTCGTTCGCTGCCAATGCACGAACACACCTCATCTCTTATTCTTCTCCTCTTTTCCTCTTTGCTGGTAAATGCACGAATAGAATCCAGGAGTCGGTCCTCGTAACAATTAACGTGTGTAATTGGTTTGTTGGTGGTCTCCGTAAATCTGAATTTTCCTTTATGCTTTGCATTTCTAGTCGAGCGTAGTTGTTCGTGGTGTTAATCGTTACAGAGAAGTGCGGTTGGTCAAAGGCACGTTACGACCTGGCACCTTCCGCAACGCCGACACAGCCGCGCGTTGCTTATAAACGGAGCGTCCGCAAAAATAGATCAACGCCGTGACCATGGCAGTATGTTGGCGGTATGTAACTTACATACCGCGCGAAAATAGTATGAAAATAAACTGTTTTTAGCGCTCCTCTACATCCCCCGTCCGCACGCGCGGATTTAATATAGTCAACAGGCAGAGCGGGCGATACAATAAAGATAATACGATTGTTCCTTCTGATCACGCTAACAATACATCGCCAACTGTAGTCTCGATTTTTGCCGGCGAGCCGGTAACGGAAGATGCGGGCAGACTATGTGAAACACAAGTCTGTCTAAGGGTGAATTCACACCTTGACAGAAACACCGAGAACAGAAAGTCAATCAGAACTCACGCTGGTGATCAGATGGTAGTCGACAGTTTCTACTTTTCTATCAGTGCGAATTCTGATTGGCTTCTGCCTTTCTGGTTTCGGCTTTTCTGCCAAGGTGTGAATTCGCCCTAAGATCGCGACGAAGAACAAGCGCTTTGGACGATGCTATCGGTAAAAATGAAAACGGCCCTAACAATCGACATTGGAAAGTTCGAAACTCTCGAGAACGATCTCATTGTCAGATAGACCCACTACAAAAATGAGTTTTCTCGTAATGAAAAAGCAATTAATTATTGGTAAAAATCAACAACCGACTCGCACAATTTGGAAATTCATTTTATGGCCAAGAGATTAACGAAATCTCGTAATTCTATATCAAAGATAACGCGTGTACTCATTTTGTTGTACTGCTCGTTAGTGATCTGCACTGGAATGGTATGTATGTGTGTGTGTTATACCAAGAATTTAAAGGCGTTGATTAAAATTGAATGTCCTCTGTGTGTACATATACACCCGCATGTCAATGTTGCAATAACTGTGAATAATCCGCGAATATACCCCACGATGTGTTTCACGTCGACCGCCATTATGACCCACACACGTATCAACATAGCAGAGAGAACGTGGCAATGCGTGCATTATATATCTCATGTTAATTCGACTCTCACGTTTACGTTATTGACGACGGGCAGCAGAGATTCTTAGACTCTCTCAGAGCGAGTAGAATGGTTCGTCGTAAATGATCGTATTGTAATCGTAAGTGTGAAAGTTAAACGACGAAAACAAGCGGGCGATATTGGATCCCGTGACGTTATTACCCAACGATACGTTATACAGTCACGCGGTGCGTTATTACAACATACCTGAAACGATATTCGAATTCCACTCGAGCGAATTGTCGAGGGGCACATGGCCGATAATAAACAGGATCGGTCGAGAACGTTCCCGATCCAACCCGCGACATTCTTTCATCACTTTTATCATCATCCCGAGAAGAGAGGTACGTGTGGATGATACAAAGGGGAAATGATGATATGCCAATACATGTGATTCTTATCTCCGTCGTGGAGAATAACTGGAAACTGAGTCACCGTCGCGCACAGTGTCGTTTCAATTTAATTGTGACCTCCACCTGAGGTGCAAAGCATACCTTGGTGTAGGTGGAATCGTAATTCGCGATGATAATGGCGTGTTTATCCGCGATAAGCGCAGCAGATAAAGGCACATCTTCTGGAGCACGTCGGAATACAGGTGCGTTACGTGCGTTTGCGCTCTACGGTGTATCTGAAGAAAGATTACACACGAGAACACCCGTGTCGTTCGATTCGACTGAGCCGCGCGATATCGGGATCGTAAATTTTCCGTCTCCTCCACCCGCCGCCACGGCCGCTGACTTCAGCAGTAAAAGCGCAGCACACTTGCGAATCGATTATGCGAGTCGCGATCGCGAACGCTCGACCGTGAACCGCTCGGATCGGAGCGAAAGATCGGCGATCGCGTGAGAAACAACGCGATTTCGCGGCGATCGCATTCGACTTCCCTGCGGTGCGACGATCACGATTATAGGGGCACGGAAGTGAGCGACAGCTTTCGAAATTAATGCGCTGAGTGCCGCGTCATCCATATTTAGGTGACGCGTGAATTTCCGCAGGGGCACCGTCAGTCATTTGTGAATTATAGCTTTATTTGCCTGATTAACAATGATTCCCCGAAGTGCTTCACTACTTCCACGAAAATTTATAGGAACATATCGAAAAACAATAAAATATTATTAACGTAAAACGAAAATCCGCCCTTCTCAAGTGGATCAGTAAAAATATCTCAAAGGGAATGTTTCACCGATAATAAGTGAGTATTTATTGATTTTCAATGAGAACACTTTCCCACTCTACTGCTCCGCTTTACATCTCACATTTTGACTAATAAAAGTAAGATTTCAAAATCTCTGCACTGCAAAATCTCTGCAGTGCGCAAATCCATTTACTCTGTACACAAAGAAAATATTAGTAAAACTTATGCTATAAAGGTAAATTTCTTTCTACGAAAGAAATCGTTTTTGGAAAGCTCTGGATTGAAATTGTAGTAAAGTACTATACACGGGAAAAAA